GTTATATGTGTTGTTTAGATGCATTAATTTACAGTTCGTCTTCGTTTTTAAATCGACCATGTTTGTCTAACGTATAGACTTCGAACACTAGATCGTGTCTCTTCTAAAATAGGTCTCTTAGGTCAGATTTACTGAACTATTTGACATTTTAATTCGAGACTGTATCATCGTCTTCTAATGCAACAACCGCTTATTCTTCCGTTAGCAACTACTCAGTTTCCAGAAGAATTTGAAGTAAATTTCAATAGACATATTTTATGTAATCTTGCACAAATTATTTTTCATATACCATTCGAAATAAATTAATACAGGGAAGAGGGGTTTGATATAGCCATATTATGATATACCGGTTCAAGTACTAGCTACTAGACCGGGCGACGAATGTACATGACGACATCCCCAAGTTACTTCCTCAAAGACGAATCTTCTCACATTTCACCTAAGGAGGGAACTCCTTTTTGTCAAGCCGACGGCCGATGACGATTTCCGTAGGACAACTCACGTAGTCGAATTCTACTAGGAAGACGAGAACTATTCAGGTTGGTGTAAGCCTCCTGATGTATTACTGTGAATAAACCCTTAAGTCGACCTCTTACCACTCGCTCTACGCCTCGACTCTCGAAGGCATCCGACTATTCAAGACACTTCAACATATCTTAACATGTCCTCGAAACCAAGGTGATTCTTTATGAGATAAGAAGGAATCTGGTGTTGACTAGGAGAAAAATGAAATGCGAACCGACCATGGATTTTGGGTTCTTCATGTAAGTTGGCCAGGACATTTTGGGTATCTCAAGTAGGTATTTCCTTCTATATAAAGGAGTTGAGGTAACCTGAAACCCTAACTTTCACTCTCTTTATTCATTTCATATCTCCTGCGCTGCTGCTCCTAGCAGCTCTTCTCCCTCTTCTTTGTCACTGACTTGAGCGTCAAAGGCTCCACACCAGAAACACTTCCGGCGTTGAGTTCTTGCAAGTGTTTGCGGCAGTCTAAAAGCGATTCAAAGGCGGTTCGAACAGATCGGAGCTCATCTCAACCGGTTCACTCCAGATCTAGGAGGAGGCCCATCAATAAGGATTTCATATTTTAAATTCACACAATATTATTTAATAAGCATGTTTAATTTATAAATATCAATTAATATCTCTTATCCGTGCATCGTATACAAGGTTGGTACTAGTATTTATGCAAAATGTTGCAAAAAATATAGTGTATATATAATTTTTCATGAAATTAAGGATAATTTTGGGTGTTAATTTTATTAAATGGACCCATCATGATCTGTTGGTCCTTGGGTTGAAGTCCCAACATAAATTGTTGAACAATCTATGGGCTATATGTTTGAACTGGGCTTGAGTCCATATAAGTACCAAACTACCAACAAGCCGAAGAGCTCCAACTCCATATAGCGTTATGGAAGGTTGATTCAGATAATTTGGGATATGGTGGTCCAATTGAGTAAAAGCTAGGAGTACAAAATAATTTAATATAAACTGTTGTACAAAATTTACTTCCTTCAATATAAGAACCAAAAAGTGGGAAGTAGGCACAAGTACAAAATGACATGCAAAAATCATCTTTGCACTTGTACACATGTGATATATATAAAGCTTCATGTACGGCGAAATGATCCGACTTTAGTCAAAAGGGCGGTGACATTTGTTCTAATAATAGATATTTTTTTATTTTTAACGTGGGGTACTTCTATCATTGTGCATAATATAGTATTACGCTAGTATGCATTATGATAGTCATTAATGTACACTTTGTCTAATATTATTGTGCATTTTGTAACGCGTTAACATAGTGATAAATTTATGAACTTTTAATGTGCATTATACACACACAATATTGTTCACTTTACTTAACATTAATGTGCATTTGTTATATTTTCATAAATTACATATTTGACCTAAAAATTAATTTGCAATATAAGTCCCTGAAACTTATGTAATTTCCAAATTAAAGCCCATAGTCCAAAAAATTGTCCCATCTGTTTTCGCCAACCAGGGTCGCGGAGGGTGGTCGTCAATCAGCGTGTGTTTGATCTCTACCGCCACAATTCTCGTATGAATTGTCACGTCGGTGTTGTAAATTTTGTGTCAAAATTACACGGGAATCCTACGAACTGATATGTATTTTTTTTTTCAGTTCTTACAAATAATCTAAAAATAGAAAATTACAATTAAACTGAAAAATAAAATACAACTGAAAAAAAAAACGGAAAGATTTTAGCCGAGGCGAGTAAAAACTCTTTCCGCAAGAAGAATAC